ATAAATATATGGAACAGTCTCATTGACTTACAATTTTAGAAATTCACCATTGGTCTTCTGTAGATTTTCTTTAGGGTAATATTTAAGATGATTCCCTAATTTATTATCAGTTAATTTTTTCATGCTGTTCATTTGTAGCTATTTCACATAAACTTTGGTTTTTAACTTCTTATTTTTATAAAATATTGTGTGTGTTGTCCTCTATGTAGAACCCAGACTTTCCTATTTTCTTTCTGTTACTTGAGCTTTGGAATTCATATCTAATTATTTATGAGAATATGTAAAACACAGTTGCACTAGGAATTCTTTTTTCTTATTAGTTATTAGAGAATCTCATGCAATGTATTCAAATAAAATTCATATATTTTACCTCCTTTAGTCAGACTCACCCACAATATGCCAAATGTTCTTTATATCCTTTGTTTCTCCTAAAACTCATAACATGCAATCTACAATGCCTATTTTCTCTACAGTGATTAATTTCATTTGAAAGTATAGTTGACCTACCCATGGCTAATCCCCTAAAGAAATCCCCTTCACTACACATCTGAAGAGCTGTCAAATGGCAGTGGCTATTTAGCTAAAAGTAGGAATGCATGCCTACCTCTGGACACCATACAGGAAAATTTCTGACATGAGCTTGCACAGGTCTTGTATGTGCTGTCACAACCTCTGTGACATCCATTGTTTCCTTGTAGTCATCCATTCTTTCCTAAAATAGAACTGAGAATACCACACTCATATTCTCTGTATTTTAAGTAGTATTGGATCTCTATGATAATCACCATCTACTACAATAAGGAATGCATCTGCCCAAACTTGAAAGGTTCACTAATCTAAAAATATAACAATATCTTTAAGAGTTTATCTAAAATGGGTCCATTTAGCAGAATGCTAGTAGTATGATCTAGCTTAGGGTCTATTTGCATATTCTTGTCCAAACTTGGCTCCAGCTTGAGTTACATCTGTCTTGTGAATTGAAATTCAATAAGAAATGAGTAGACAACTACCAGTGTGTTCATGGGCCTATTATAGCTGTGCACACATATTAACAGTCCAGTCCATTTTTTTATCTCACAGAGTTCACAGGTATTTAAAAATGATCATGCATTGTATCTTCCAGTATTGTCCATACTACCATTCATTACTATAAAAGCTATGCAATGGGGTGAAGCTCTAAGGTCAGAACAAGCTTGAGTTCCCCATGTTCTGTGACTCAACTATGTCTTCATCAACAGGGTATTATATACTTGTTCTGGAAGTAAATAATAGCATGACAATGGCCTGTAATATTAAGAAGTTTATGGACTGATGTTCAAGAACTCTAAATGAGGAAACCTATTCCTGACAGCAGCCTTGGTCTTGGTGTCTCTTCACATAAATGGAAACCCTAAGACAGCTAATATCCAAAATTTATAAAGAACACAAGAAGTTAGACAGCAACAACCCAAATAACTCAATTTAAAAAATGGGACACAGAGCTAACAGAATTCTCAGCAGATGATTCTCAAATAGCTGAGAAGCACTCAAAGAAATGTTGAACGTCCTTAGTCATCAGGGGAATGCAAATCAAAACAACTCTGAGATCCCATCTTACACTGGTCAGAATGACTAAGATTAAAAACTCAAGTGATAACACATGCTGGCAAGGATGTGGAGTAAGGAGAACACTCCTCCATTGCTGCTCAGAGTGAAAATTTGTATAACCACTTTGGAAGTCAATTGTGTGTTTTCTCAGAAAATTTTGAATAGTTCTACTGCAAGACTCAGTTATATTATTTCTGTGTATATTACCAAAATATGTCCAACTATACCACAGAAACACTTGCTCAACTATGTTCATAGAAGCTCTATTTGTAATAGACAGAAACTGGAAAGAATCTAGATGTCCCTCATTTGAAGAATGGATAAAGAAAATGTGGTACAACAATACAATGGAATACTAAACAGCTAAAGGATATTAGCCATAAAATACAGGATACCCAAGCTACAGTCCACAGATCCATAGAAGCTAAACAAGAAGGAAGGCACAAGCAACCATGCTTGAATCTTATTTAGAAAGAAAAATAAAATAGTCAGAGGATGCAGATGGAATGAGCTAACTGAATATGAGGAGGTATGGGTAGGGGGCTGGGAGTTTCAGGATCAGATGTAGGGAGATCAAGGAAGATGGCCAGAGAGTCATGAGAATGAATGGAAATCTGAAGCTGTTGGGGCTGAAGGTTGGGGGCATCTTGAGAACATGGAAGAGACCTGGGATGTGGGAGGCTCACAAGAATCAGTTGGTATGACCTTAGCTGAGACTCATAGCACTGGGGATATACAACCTGAAGAAGCCACTTCCGGTAGCTAGGTAGGAACCCCTTTGGACCAATAGGGACATTAACCAACCCACAGAATTTTTTACCTAAAGTTTATCATGCCTACAAAAAATGCAGGAACAGGAGATGGAGCCGAGGTTGTAGGAATGGCTAACCAATAACCCGCCCAACTTGAGATTTATCCCATGGGCAAGCACCAATCCCTGACACTGTTAATGATACTCTGCTATATTTGCAGACAGGAGCCTAGTGTGGCTGTCCTCTGAGAGACTCTATCCAGCAGGTGACTCAGACAAATGCAGAGATCCATGGCCAAACATTGGATGGAGCTTGGGGACACTTATGGGAGAGTTGGGGGAAGAATTGAGAGCCCGAAAGAGGAAAGGAACTTCTTGGGAAGATTAACAGAGTCAAGTAACCTAGACCCTTGAGGGCTCTTAGAAACTTAACCACCAACTCAAAAGCATATACAAGCTGTACTTAGGACCCCCACATATATATAGCAGAGGTACAGCTCATTCTTCATATGGGTCCTGAACAACTGAAGAAGGGGCTGTCCCTAAAGCGGTTGCCTGAATGTGGAATCTGTTCCCCTAGTTTGTCTGTCTTATATGGCCTAAGACATAGAGAAGAATGTGTGTGTGTGTGTGTGTGTGTGTGTGTGTGTGTGTGTGTGTGTGT